CAGCAGAGGCATCACGTACGAAGTTACAATCATTTACCAGCAGAGGGCAATTCAGATTCATTCATTTCAAACCCAGGCATTGGGCCAGCTCTTGTAAACTCTGAGATAACAAGAGGTGTAGAGCCGGATGAACACAGCAGGCCAAACAGCATCAGAGGAGCCGGAAGGCTGACGTTTCAGGTCTCACTGAATATCTCAGTCTGAAATCCTGCCCGAGAAACACCGTGGGACAGATAAATACTTTGAAGGTGTGAGAGACAGTGTTATTGCTTGCAATCTCCACGAATGTATGTTCAATATCGTGTCAGAGAAGAGCCTGCCCAAGAACCACAAGTTGGTATATTTTGAGCAATGAGCTCAGCCAATGTGTTTTGAACCCATTGTCTGTGCAACAGTTGGGTTGTTTTGATATCCTCCAGTAGCCCACTGTGGAGGTAATTCTGTCGTGATATGGGTGGACACCAGATTTTATTGTTTGTTCACGGGATGTGGGGGACGTTCGCGGTATCCCCAAACGCCCTTTCGCCTTTTCGATCAGCCATTTGTGCTGGGGAGGTACACCCGGCGCTTTTGGGGAAAAGAGTTTCACCCGGCCACACTGCAGGATCGGCAGTACATTTCCACAAAAACAGAAATTGCTGGAGAAACTCTGCAGGTCCGGCAGCATCTTGGAGAGAAAGCAGAGTTAAGGTTTTGAGCCCGGCCACTCTTCATCAGAACTATATTAATGCGATAATGTTTCCAAGTCAGGTTGGTGTATGATTTAGGAGCAAAATACTGATACAAAATTCAGGCACTGATAAAAAAAAATTGCTGGAGATCACAGCGGGTCAGGCACCTTCCACGGAGAGAGAGCAAACTAACGTTTCGATTTGAGATGACTCTTCATCAGAGCTGACGTGAAGTGTGGAGAAGGGCAGCGTTTATGGTCTAGCGGCGGTGGGGTGTGGAGTGCCGGGGGGGAAAAGGTGCTGATGATGCAGGTTAAGTGATCGGAGTGTTAGAATGGCAGAACAATGATGTGTCTAAATGCCAGACTGGAAAGAACAGATGGTCCCTCTGGAGTGTCGGGCGGGTGAAGGCAAGGCAGGACGTGGTGACAGAGATTGCAACAAGTAACGCTAAAAGGGATGAAATCTGAAGGTGTTTACCTCAATAATAAGTACGGAGTATGACCTAATGTTTTATTGGGGTCTCTCGCCAGACTTGCTGCCAGACTAAGTGTTTCCAGCATTGCCTGTTGTGGTTTTACTGGCAGAATCAGGAAGTGGAACAAGACTCTAAGGTATTTCACCGACTAGAGAGGCACTAGCTAACTCGTCAACACCGAAACTCAACTAATCGCCTCAACTGGGATGAATGATACAAACTTGTCAATCGAGTGGATGTGAGTTAACTTTCCACTCGATCAAATCAGCTGTTGATTTCTTTTTGAACATCAGCCAAATAAAATAATCATTTTTTTGAGACTTGGTTTTCCTCCATGTTATTTCTGGGAACGGACAACTTTGTGAAGGCCGAATAAAAACCGAAAGAAGTGCGGATGCCATGAATCAGGAACAAAAACAGAAGTTGCTGGATAAACTCAGCAGATCTGGCAGTATCTGTGAAGGAAAAGAAAAACAGAGTTAACGTTTCGGGTCCCGTTCTGAGGAAGGGTCACCGGACCCGAAACGTTAACTCTGCTTTCTTTTTCTCTTCATAGATGCTGTCAGACCTGCTGAGCTTTTCCAGCAACTTCTGTTTTTGTTGTTGTGAGCTTTGTGAAGGCTCGTTTTGTTGCTTCAGCTCACTGTTTTGTGATTCATGGCGGATGCACCTTGGTGCTCCTGTGATGCTGCTTGGCCTGCTGTGTTCATCCAGCTCTACACCTTGTTATCTCAGATTCTCCAGCATCTGCAGTTCCTACTATCTCTGCACCTTGGTGTTGGTCTGTTAACTGCTTTTGTTTGACCATTCCTGACACTGCACTTGGTTTAGAATTAAAGCAAGGGAGGGTGTCAAGTTTGGATGAGTGTGAGTTCAGCTAAAGGGTGTTAGGATTCCTGCAACTTCACACAATTACCCCTGCAGCTGCGAATGAGACTGAAACAGAATGCTCCAGGTCCGGGGACAGAGAGAGGGTGAGGCTCGGAGATAACGTTTCAGGCCGGCAGTCTTTTGTCTGAACACAAACCTGATTGAATAATTCTGCCTATGGCCGCTGCTCCAACAGAGCCCTGTCTCTCCACTGGCACTCTCGATTTAACCACATTCCTTCACAAATTTCAGATGTCAGTACTTCTGTGAGAGCTGTCAGTTTTTTTTAAGCGGTTGATCGGCTCTCGCTAGCTCTCTGGGCCTCTTTGAATTTAGGACTGTGACGTGACCGGACAAGAAACTGTTACAAACACTGTGTAGGAAAGAAAATAAGCCTGCAGGGAATATGGCACGGTATGCAGCTTCAACTGAGAGGGGTGCAGGGCCCGATAAAGGCTTGACATGAGCGAGTTATCTCATTGCCATTCTCAAAGCAATTAAGAGAGTATCTCCACACGGTTCTGTAGCTGAATGAGTGAGAGATCTATCTGCTTATTGTCCCACTCTAAGCAATATCAATTATCTCCATTTATTAGGAATATATATGAACGCAATTTAATAGGAATAACACAATCTATTTATAGGAATATATACCATCTCTATTTATTAACAATATATATTATGGAGCAATTTCCCTGAAGCTTTTTCTCATACATTTAAGTCAAGCCTTGCGTGTCCTACTCTGATCCTGTGCAGCAATAATTAACATTTGTGTTTGTATATCTGCCTCACTGTAAAACAAAAACAGTCACACACCAGAAATCCAGTCAGAGTCATGGAGACGAACAGCACGGAAACAAACCCTTCAGTCCAACTTGCCCATGCCAACCAGATATCCTAAATAAATCTCGTCCCATTTGCCAACATTTGGCCCATATCCCTCTAAACCCTTACTATTCATATACACCTCCATGTTGTAATTGTACCAGCCTCCATCACTTCCTCTGGCAGGTCATTCCATACACACACCACCCTCTGCATGAAAACAGTTGCCCTTTAGGTCCCTTTTAAATTTTTCCCTCTCTCCTGGTCTCTAGTTCTGGTCTCCCCCACCCCGAAGAAAAGACCTTGTCTATTTACTCTATCTATGCCCCTCATGATTTTATAAACCCCTATAATGTCACCCCTCAGCCTCCAGGGAAAACAGTCCCAGCCTATTCAGCCTATCCCCATAGCTCACACCCTCCAACCCTGGCAACACCCGTTATAAACACAGTTCCCCAGGGCTCCAAGGAGAACGCCAGCATTTTTGAAGGGGATGTCTCTGGTGGGGATTGTAGTAGCAGCCAGCCTGCCGCTTCCCCCAAGCCCAGCCATTCAGCAATAGCATGGCTCTCGGTGACAAGATTGTAGTTTCCGGTCTGTACCGCACAAACAGATCTCCGCTTCAGCCGGCCAGAGCTGAACCTCCCCAAGAGCCTGGGACTCGCACCGAGCAGCGCACTCACTGAGTATTCTTTTTCAACCAACTCCTCAGTGACCAAGCCATGTCAATTCCAGTCCAGACACAGCAGTTTGCACATTGACCTAACTTTGTTATATCTCATCACAGAAGTTCTTTGGGACTGCCAATGCTATTTTACCAGAAGATAGTGACATTCACCACTTCTTAGTGTTAGCACATGGAGTGAAAACTAGCCAAATCACTATCTGTAGTTAAGCGGCGATGCCAATGCGCGTTGTAAACCTCAAGAGAATGGAAATTGTACTGAACCATCTCAGAGAGGAACAGGGAATAGGATCTACAGTTGAATTCTAATGCGCTATAATTATCAATTTGAAATGTTTTACCGTCAGGCTGATTCCTGACATGGCAAATATGCAGTGAATATTAAGACCATAACAATTGTATTGTGATACCTGGAACACATTGTTATGAATCAAATTGAATTTGATTGCAAATTCTGTCATTTTCAATTGGAATTGTTTTGTGATGCACTTTTACAAATTTTGTTCCTAAAATATATTTTGGGGTGAACAGTTATAACACTTTCATCCCTTACTTCCCCAATTTCTAAATTAGAACCTGCAGGACAGGAAATCTTGTAATTACCAAATAGGCTTGACTGTTTTAAGATATCGTCGGGCCAGAAAAACAGCTTCCAATCAATCATTATAATATTTATGCTGAAATAAATTTTCATTTTAAGAAAGATATAAATGCAAATAAATGAATCTGATGCACTAGGGTTTATTGACTACCATTTGACTCAAACTAAAGTAAAATTACAAACTGCCATTCCACCCAGAAGTAACACAGAAATAAAACCTTTTATTTTGCAGAACTTACAAAGCAGAGATAGATATCTTTTAAAATTCACACAATGAAGGCTCCAGTTGCACAGGGCATATTGAACAATTATCAAAACCACTGACTTTAATCTCTGATTTTGAATGTTAAAACATTTGGTTAAAACCATTTGCAATCTCAATATTCAGATCAGAAGATAGAAATTTTAAAAAAATATATGTGCTATTATAATTTCTGCCCCAACTGACTGGGATCTCTGTGGGATAAACTGGTTTAATTATTAAAATTTTAAAACACAAAACTGCTGCTGTGTCTATTGCTCAACAATCCTTTTTTTTCGGTAGTCACGGTTTCTCCACCAATTTGTGTCAGTCAATGCCATCAAGTAAGATGCTCCATCTCACCCTCTGCACCAGAAAACATCTATAATTGTAGTACCCATAATGAATTGATGTTTTGTGTGTATCAGTGGGAACTGTCTGATAATCTGAAGTGTATAGCAACTCATGAATTATAGTTTTAGCCAGTTCCAAGGAAGACCATGCTCTTGAAATAAATGGTAAGTGTGTCAACTACATTGGAAAGTGAGCTGATAGCAGAAAATAGGCAAGGCTAATGAATGGAGGAAACTGAGCAGAAAGTAAATTAGTTCTACAGAATAAAAGCACAGTGGTTAAAACATACTAATGTTTTGCATACAAATAAAATCTATGATATCGGTTCAAGTAAAATAATTATTAGAATTAGTTGCTATATTTAAGAAAAGAGTGCAAATATTTCAATAGCTGTTTCAAAGGGCTGACATAGGCACAAGGCATGAATGGCTATTTTCCCTATTTGTGCAATTCTATCTGAAATCAAATAAATATGTGGTTAACTATGGATATATAGCAAGCAGTATGTGGAACATATTCCAATGTCTTAAGATAATGGCAACAGGGGTTTTAGTTGAATGCATCTGGCGTGGAATGTTGGAAATTAATGTGCTCAATTGAAAAGATGTTTTGTTAAGTTCCATTCTGAGCTAAGCTTAGCTATTCATTTGTTCTGAGAGATCAAACATCTTAGTGCAGACTGTGCATGGTCTGTGAAAGGATTGATCCAAACAGCACTTGCTCACTGCCTGCTCTTTTCATGTAGAATTTGCTTGTTTTGCTTAGCCAATGACATTATTTACTTTATACTCTTCTCCACTGGCTCTGCACAAACTCCCCTGTGATACTCATAATCATTGTCTCTTTTTATTGTTTGAAAGCTCTCAAGTGTGCCCTCACAATTTGTTTTCCAGAAGTATTATAACACTGCCTTGGTGAGAACAAAAACAAAGTTGCTGGAAAAGCTCAGCAGGTCTGGCAGCATCTGTGAAGGAATAAGCAGAGTTAATGTTTCAGGTCCGGTGACCCTTCCTGAGAACTTTTCTACCAAGTCTGCACAATCAAATAAGAACAGCAAAATTGTCAAATGATCATAGGCGAATCCTGTGCGTGGTTTGTTTGCTAATGTACTTTGTGCTGTTCAAGGTAAGGATGTTGGGAAAGTGGAGGGGTCAGAGAGAGAATTTGATATTTTTGTTGTAATTTACAAATCCAATTTCAGCTTCTGGTTTTAATTTGTGGAGACTACACAATTCCTTTACCGAGTGCTGCATTCAGACAATTGTTACCTAACTCTAATGAGGTTACTGTCATTAACATCAGTTATCATCATATCATTAGTTATATTTATAACATAAAGCTCGTATTCAGCAACATTCTTGAGGAGACAGAGTTAAAAAAAACCTACTGAAGATATTATCCTTTGAATTAACCATTTAAAAAGGTGCTGTTATATTGGCAGGTTAATTCACGTTGAGCTAAGATTGGAGAACCAACTTCTTGCTTGTATTTGGTGCGGTGCAAGTGTGTTCACTGCACAGTGTAGCCCATCTTTTTGCCCTGTTGCTTTCTGAGTTCTGGTGTGGCATAAATAAGCTTGTCATTTCTCTGTGGGTTTCTCGGTGGTACACGGGGACAAGCTGCTTTCCTTTCCATGTGCTGGTGCTTTGTACCTTTTGCAAGACTGCTGGCATCCATAGCTGTATATGTCATGTTGAAGTTAGCTGGTTTCTGCATATGCTGCAAGCCAATAGTACAAAAGAGATCAGCAAGATATTGACTTTGACAATACCAAATTCCTCTGTACCCCACAAAGAAATAGACTGTACTTGCCCCTAGGCTTTCACTCCCCTCACCATTTACCTGACTGCCAGTCACCTTTCCTGTCAATATTTGTGTGCATGTCCCAAACCCACTGAATTGCATTTTCCACCTGCAGGCCAGGGAGTGGATTGGGTGAGCTCAACTAGTTGTGTTCAATATCTTCATTGTTACCAAACATGCTGCTTGTTTTGGTATTTTGTGCGTATCATTTCCACCAGTCCCTCATTAAAATTGGGGCCATGATGTGGAGGTTCATTCTTGCAGTATCACCTCAACAAAGATACCGGAGAGAGAAAGAAGAAAGATTTAAAAAGGACACAAGGGGCAACTTCTTTAGACAAAGAATGGTTTGTGGATGGAATGAACTGCCAAACAAAGTGATGGATGCAGGTACAGTTACAATGTTTAAAAGACATTTGGATAAGAATATGAATAGAAAAGGTTTGAAGGGATATTAGCCAAATGCAGATGGTGGGAGGAAACCAGAGCACTAAAAGGAAACCAAGGCAGACATGGGGAGAATGTACAAACTACACTCAGACACTCACCTGAGGCTGGAATTGAGCCTGGGTCCCTAGCGCCGTGAGGCAGCAATGCTAACCACTGAGCCACTGTGCCCCCTGTAACCCAGTCTATAGGAGAATAATTAAATGTGCATACATATATGTATAAGCTCTCAATAAACGTGGATTATAGAGAAGCCACAAAGTTCAAGACAGAATGTCCAGGGAAAAATGCAGCGAGAATGCTTTCCTGCATTTTTAAGGTATTTCAGAGGAGCTAGTGGAAAAATTACCTGAGCACATCTGTTCTCTCCTTTTCGTCGTCTGCCTATGAAAGGATAAATGGATTCAAAAAAAATGATTTTTAAATAAATTCTCTACCAGGTAGTATCAGACAGACCATAAATTGACTTCCAATGTATAAGTGCCTTTGACATAACAATCAACACAACTATCCAATTTTATAATCAAATCCAGGACCCATTCAATGAATGTGCATAACATCACTCTGTTTCATATAATTTAACAGATCCTAATGTTTGAGCAATCAAAATCTTTTCATTTTCAAACCAGATACCTACTAATTGCTGACAGATTTTTTTTACTGCCAATTATTTCTTATTAGCTCTCTCAAGAATAAAACGTACTGGTCAAGACATGACAATCGGACTAACATTAGTCGGCCATCAAATGAATCTCATTGTAATACTATAATGATAAGAACATGAAAAAAGGAGCAGGAATGGGCCATTCAGCCCCTCAAGCCTGTGTCACCATTCAACAGGTTCATTGGATAATTTACCCCAGGGCTCAATTCCTTTTTCAGGTCAGTTTAGCATACCATCCACACCGATATTTCAAAAATCTTCTATCTCCTCTTTCAGGGATCTAGCCTCTACAACTCAACGGAGTAGAGAATTGCAAACGTTCACTATCCTCTGAGAGAAGAAATTCTGTTGCATCTCAGAGTATCTCCTTATTCTATAACTATGTTCCCTAGTTTGAGATTCCCCCACTATTGGCAACATTTAACCTGTCAAGACCCTCAGAATCTTGTATGTTTCAATAAAATCACCCTCATTCTTCTAAAATCTGATAAATAAAGCCCTAACTATTTTAGTTGTTCTTGATAAATTAATCTCTTTAACCTAGGAATCAGCCTGGTGAGTCTCTTTTGAACAGCCTCCAAAGGCATTATACCCCTCTTTTTTAAATACAAGGACCAAAACTGCATACACTACTTCAGTTGTGGCCTCACAAACACCCTGTACAGTTGTAAGAAAACGTTCCTGTTTTTAAACTCCAATTTTCTAGCAATAAAGGCCAAATGTATCTTTGCTTTAATTACTTGCTGCAGCTGTATGCTAACTCTTTTGGGATTCATGCACAAGAACATAAAAATCCCTTTGTGCTGCTCTTTTTTGGAGTATCTCTCCTTTTACTTCTTCTTACCAAAGTTTGTTATCTCACACTTTCCTACATTAAACTCCATCGGCCACATTTTTCCCCACTCACTTAACCTATCTATATTCCTTTGCTATTCCTTATGTCTTCATCATAGCATGCCCGCCCATCTATTTTTGTAACATGCGCAAATATCGATACATTACACTCTGCCCCCTTCCCAACTTGCCAATATGGACAGTAAATAATTGAGACACTAGGACTGAACCTTGTGACAATTCATAACCTTCATCTTTCCAACCTGAAGAAGACCTGTTAATCGTGACTCTCTGTCTTCAGTGTGTCAACCAATCCTCAATCCATGCTAATACATTACTCCCAATACCACAAGCTTCTATTTAGTGCAATAACTTTTTATGTGGCATCTAATTTATAGCGTATAAAAATTTAAATACAATACATCTACCAGTTCCCCTTTATCTACTCTGCTTGTTGTATACACAAAGAACTCTAGCAAATTTGTCAAACACAATTATCCTTTCACAAAACTATATTGACACTGTTTGATTGTGTTAAACCATTTTAAATGTCCTGCTATTTCTCTTTTTTTAAAGAATGAACTGTAACATCTTCCCAAAGACAGGTGTTAGACAAACTCACAGTTTCCTGCCTTCTGTCTCTTTCCCTTCCTGAACAAGAGCAATTAATCTGCTGGAACCCTCCTGGAATCCAGTAATCTCCAGAATATTTAGACTAATATCTTTGTTAACTTTGTCGCCACTTCTTCTAAAACACTCAGATGCAGGCTATCAGATCCTGGTAATTCTAATCCCATTCATTTGTCAAATAATTTATCTCTTGTGATAGAAACTGTTGCAAAGTTCTTCCTCCCATACCTTGCTTATCCGTTATCTTTGGGACTTTTATAAAGTTCTCCACTGTGAAGACCAATTTAAAATATTGTTTTAAATGGTTGGCAAAGTACCTGATTCTTGCTCTGCAAAAGCTTACCACAATCAAACTGAGTCACCATGCTTTTGTGGAAGGGATCTCATACTTGATAAATATGCTAAAATTCTTTGAGGACATAACAAGCAGAATTGATAAAGAGGGACCAGTACACGTATTTAAATCTTCTGATGGCATTAGTTTAATCTGTCATTTCCTTCTTCCCCATTATCAATTCCTCAGATAGATAATGAGGTTACATTTTAGTTTTTGTATTTGTTAAGTGCAGTATTTACTGATTTTTGAGGACCCTTGGAAAATCTAACACTTGGGAAAGGAGAGTTAGTACTGCTTTATCTGAAGATTTCAACATAACTACAGGATGCCAGGGCAACAAACTGCCAAACTTGCAGTATTTTACATACCTCTTTTTTCTATCATACCTAACAGTAATAGGACAGAGTTAGGCAGCAGTGCTGCATGGTGCTAGCTGTAATGTCAGGATACTTGATGCAACACATGTAACTATCTATGGTAGTGATTCATTTTTTTGCCTCCCTTGCATTAACTGAAGTACTAGACCAATTATTCCATTCATATGTCAAACTGGCAACTGAAGAGGTTGTTTAATGATGTAAAATAATTGCCAATTTATTAATATAGGAGATCAATTTTCTCAGTGTTGACTTGATTGTTTAAATCCATGAGTACAGGCATTTCAGACAAGTATAATTCATTTACAATATCACTTCAATTCACTGTAATTGTACTTTTAAAAATAAAGTGCATTAAAAATTCTAAATTTAAACAATTTAGCAAAGTACAGTATGCTCACCTCTGCACGTGCAGAATTTGCAAAGTATTATTGTAATAATCAGAAGCAGCAGGAGGAAAACCCCACTCCCAACACAGATATAGATCCACCAAGGCAGAACACCTGATTCTGGCTCTGCAAAAGCTCAAAGTACAAATACATAATTCAATGTTGTAGCAATATCATACCACAGGAAATGTGTGAACAATACAACACATGCATACTTCAACACTCATACACTCCAACACTGATACATTGAACAATAAGGTGATTTAATCTGTCAATACCACATCCTGACAGTAAATGTAGCGGTTATAAATAATACTTACTGGTTAGAAATATATATGTTTGTAAAATTGTCAGGATGGCAATGGAACAATGGGTCGAGGAGAAATGCTTTAATTGACCTTTTATGTCGTCTGCTATTCTAATTGTGTCCTCACTCACTGTAAAAGTCTCCTCTGTAACAAATCTGCATTTCTCCACTGATGTTGGTCCTTCTCTGTGGTAGACCTGGACCAGAGGAGCTTCTATCTGTCCTGTCTGCGCTCTGTCCCTTCAAAGAACTGAAGGCACTCAGGGTTAATGTCAACATTTCTCTCTAACAGAGCTGCACTCAATCTCAGCTTTCACAGCTACTGAAACTGATCAATGCCATTTCAGGTTGATCAATTTCTACTTTAACTTCTGAATTGTGGTGACAGGAGTTAGCCCAAATGTCAAAATATCAGACCTTTAACAGCCATCAAGTTTGTGAGCAGGCATTTGGCAAAATATTTCCCTGCTGACAAATATTTTATCCCAAGGCACGGGTGTAATAATGTACTCTACATTACAATCCCAAAATACAACGCTGCAGCAAAAATTGGGGGTCTTTAGGGTCTTCACTCTCCACAGAATATAAATATGCTGTAAGCACTTGCTGATAGAAGTTAAAGGGTTTTAAAATGAAGGCCACCCAAGTGATTTTGAATGAAGGAGCCAGTCAGGATTGTAAGTCTGTGTTAAGATACAATACATGTGTTTTATTTCACCGGGTCTTCTCCATTAGCACTAGGAGTTTGATCAGAGTGAGATGGCCTTCTGAGGAATGTACCTGATTTCTATGCCTTACACATGCTATCTGCTGGCAGATGGCAGAGTGGGAAATGGTTATTGCTGCAGGTCACTAACTCCTCAAGACATGTTCCATGAACTGCTCCTACTCAGACAAGGAAATGCCACTGATAGGGGGCATGAACAAATCAGATAGCACTGGAGGAGACTTTCCCTTTGAGGGGCTTATTAATCTGGTTTTGTCTTTGGGAGCCCCGAATTTCATTTCCCAATCTTCTATGGCATCGCCTTTAGAAAGCTACTAGGTCACCAATCTTCCAAGCATTAACTTTCTGACAGAAATATGTCTGTGTGTAGTACAGCCAGTTTACAAAGCAGACCCACGTTCACGTCCCACTAGTTTCAGAGGACAAATTGACGAAGTATTTAGATTGCGACTCCAAGGCATACAAAGCTATGGGCCAAGTGCTGGGAATTAGGATTAGAACAGACAGACTGGTACAAAAACCCCACAAACAAGCTATTGGAAAGCGCCGTACCTTCAGCACCGGAGATGTAAGTGTACCGGGTTTCCACCCGCTTGCCACGGTGCGACACTCGGCAGCTGTACACCGTCCCATTGCGAACAGGCTGCGTCTCCTCCAGGTAACTGGAAGCCCTGAAGCGTTTGTCCGGCCTTGGCTCGACCTGGCTGCGGATTCCGCTCAGCACCTCGCTGCCGTTCACAAACCAATTGATACTGATCTCGTCCGAGTGAAAGGCCCCAGAGATACAGGCAAGTCTCAGGAAGATTGCGGACTCTCTCCCAAACAAGGTCGGGACAATCTGGGGAGGATCCGCGGAAGCTTGGGGAGAGAAAGTCAGTATCATTCTCGCGTCAGTTTCCAGTGGGGATCATCCCATTGGGTTCAATTGCAGCTTTAATTGTCCTGTTACTTTTTTTATTGCTACATTCATTTGAGTCATCCCTCTTAGGATTCTGTCTGACCCACATTCTCTCGGCCCGAGTTTAAATCTGACTTTTGTTTTATTTCTGTGCACACAGAACACTTTCTCCCGGATTTACGCCGACGGCACCTTCGCTCTGAGGGTCTTTAGAGACTGGGATACGGAAGTTTTCCTCTCCGCTCTCTGTTTTCCCAACCTCAGGAATACTGATAGGCAGCAGAAAATATACCTTTAATCTCAGACACACTCACTCGGTGGGTTTCAGCGCCTGAGTTTTACCCTCCTTCATACGTCGGCCGCCGCTAAAATCTTCAAAAAGACCCCTGTCCTCCTCGACATATTTAGATCACAAATAAAAACAGATGCTATTGAGAAGCGCTCGGGTTAATTCTGTGGTCGCTCACAAACCCAGGGGCTGGAGTTGAGTGACTGTATTGGATATCTCTAGCTCTGAGACTGTCGGCTGTTCACGCTCACCGACTAAGGATCGGAAAATTAGGCGAATGGCAGGAACGCCGAATGGGGAAAATCGAACTGACAGGAGTGCACTGCACACCAGATTGATTAGACTTAGACTTAGGGAGGAGGGAACCACGCCTGCATATCAGTGATGGTCCAAAAGATAAAGGTTAGTAATGTGAATGGATAGCTTCACGAAGAGATAGCGGTAGACTAAGGAAATGGGAGAAACTGGAAAAGCACATTTCGATATAGGCTAATGTGAGAACCGTTCACTTTGGAGCTGGAAAGGAAAGAACTGAATCTGTTCTAATTGGGGAATATCAGTGGGGGCATCCAGAGAGATTTCGGGCGTTGGGAGTGGTACATCAATTATTAAAATGCCATAAACTGATACAGAAAACAACCAAAAGGCTCGTGGAATGCTGGCTGTGGTGTGTCCACTGTTAGAACACAATTGGATCCAGTTCATGTGCCCGCTTTAAAAAAAACCCTGATGTAGGCCCTGGAAACAGTCCTGAGCATGGTGGAATTGGTTTGGGACAGAATGCTGTTTGCATTTACCAACGTGTTCTCTGGAGCCTCCAAGGGCTAGTTAGGAAGAAGTGGCGACAGGGGAAAAAAAACATCTGTATTCTCTACAGCTAAGTAGCTGAGGGGGCGATGTGATTGAAGTTAACAGCATTGGGAGATATAAGCTGATTACAGAGTGGCTATTTCTGCTACTGGCGAGTGTAGTACGGGGTAACGGGGTACAAATTAGAACGAAACCTTTCAGGAATGAGGCTCACAAATACTTCTGCACAGGAAATTTGAAATCTTCTTTCACAAATAACAATCAATATTAAACCAATTGTAACTGTTAAGACTTCTGTTAAATAGCAATTAATCAACTATGACTGACATTAAACCAATTGTAACTGTCAAGACTTGTGTGAACCAAATATGCTAAAAGAGATATGAGGGGTAGGTCAGGATATTTAATTTGGTCACGGCTGATGGTCTGAACAAGCTCCTGTTATGCTGCCGTCGTGAAAGCACGAGAGTGATATTGAATTCGGAATGACACAGCAGCTCGGACCGGGTATAGTATTACCGCTACACCTGTAGCAAGCTCCCTCTGAGGAGATGGAAGCCTGTTGAGGTACCAAACAGCTGCAGCGAGCGGGACTTTTGGTGGGGGTTCAAGTTCACTTTGCACTGCTCTTTCGGTACTGGCTACAGCCGATAGAACCGGCCTGCTTTGCTTCCGAGTCTGAACAGTGGCTAGTGAACTGGAAATGTGAACTCAATCTACACACACAGGTTGCTAGCTCTGCCGGGTTTCTCCAGCACTTCCCTAGTTTGGTTTAGGTTCCGATCTCCACAGTTTCTTGCTTTTATTTCGCACTGCTGCTGCATTCTTTCTGCTTGTCCAATTTGGTCTTTATTTAAGCGAGCGGTGCTTTAATCATTCTCTTGCTGTCAGCCCTCCCTGTGTTTGCTGAGTCCCGCTGTGAGCCCTGGATCCCCGGTTCAGTGCAGCCGATAGGCACGGTAAGATCCCAATGGTAGGCTCCCCGTGCAGTTTCACAGCCAGTCCCTGTGTCTATTTCGCCCGATCAATGACACACGCCGAGTGAAAGTGGTTCGGAACTGCTCTCAGGCTGGAGCTTCTGTGAGACCCCATTGCCCCCCGATTCCGTAGCCCCACACAAAACCGCTCTCCACCTTGCAGCTCCCAGCCTCCCCCCAAAACCCTCCCCACTGCTCCAGGTCTGGGCTGCATCTTTCTTGGGTCTGCGCCTCATCACGGGGAGATCCCCCAGTAACTCCTTCTCCTGCCCCTACAGACCCACCCTGTGGTCAGTTCATTCACAAACTCCATCTCTCTCCTGCTCACAATCCACTCTTGGAAAGAGCCCTCAGTCACCTCTCAGTATGTGCTGGGGGCGAGGCGGGGGCACCACACAAATACCAGATGCTGGTGGGGCACAGAAGAAATTCCGATGACACTGTTATCTCCCGATAATGTGGCAGACGGGAACGTTCTGTTTTATGGCAGAGCCTCATTTTACCAAAAAAATCGGTATTGGTCAATCACCTCCCCCACCCCAGCTCCTTTCCTCCCTATATTAACAACGCATCGCCCCGCTGCACGGTTAAAACTCCGCGCTTGTCCGGTAGTTGTCCGGTGTCCCAACGTGCAGAGGTCTCTGAGCCCAGGGGAATGGCCAACTGCTGACCAGATACCTCCCAGGGCTATTCGCACTGAGGGCAGTGTGTCCTAAACCTGCTGGGGATTCTGTACTGGCGGACAGCACAGAGCACGGCCCTGGGTCAGTGCCCCGTGGAAGATCAGGCCCGTTCCTGGGATCTTTCCGTGCAATGAGACAGTCTTCCTAAAAATGCCTCCAATTCCATTGTTACTAAACCAAATGGAAAATCCTAGCAGGGAAATGGGGAGAGAATAAAGGGATAAAGAGAGGGAATGTAGGGCGGGGGGTGGAATATAGGGACA